TTCTTCTTCTTCTTCTTCTTCTTCTTCTTCTTCTTCTTCTTCTTCTTCTTCTTCTTCTTCTTCTTCTCCTTCTCCTTCTCCTTCTCCTTCTCCCTCTCCCTCTCCCTCTCCCTCTCCTTCTCCTTCTCCTTCTCCTTCTCCTTTTCCTTCTCCTTTTCCTTCTTCTTCTCCTTCTCCTTCTCCTTCTTCTTCTTCTCTCTTTGTTTTCTGGACGTGCGTGCGAACAAACCATGTTCCACACCATTGGTGATACGGTAGGCCTAGGCCCAATGACTTAAGATCTATATCGTTTGAGCCAATTCAACTTGTTGCGTGTGTCCATAATTCTTTGGCTAGGTAGAAAAGGGACTTCAAAAACTGGTCTTGCTCTAGACTGTTCAACAGTCTTTGGAAAATTCTTTGTAAAGTTTAAGAACAAAACAGAGAAATAGGTTACACATGTACGGTATAGGTATAGGATTTGGCAGTATTTTTAAACTCCCCAATGCACTGATGTAAAAGTCTCCTCATAGGAGCCATATATATCTGTGGTAAATTATGATAAAGGGAACCTACTCTGACTGAATAAACTGATCTTTTTGTATACAAAGCACAGGTTGGAAAAATGCTTGACAACAAGAAGACGCAGCGTTGATGAGGAAGATATAATTAATTTATGTCGGTTGAGTGATTTTAAATTTAAGACACAGACCAGAAATGTTTTGTTGATAAACAGAAAAACAAGAAATTTAATACACTGGAGTGGTTAAGAAGAATGAGAAAACATGGATTTCAGATTTTACTGGGCTGGCTGTTCTTGGCGACTATCTGCCTTCTGTTGTATTTCCCCTTCTCGCTTTCGCACACTGAGAAGGTGCCTTCTCTTCTTATCGTCTCATTTGACGGCTTTCGCTGGGATTATTTGACTCACACACCAACACCACATTTCCAGGATATCATACTCAAAGGAGTTCATGCGAAGAAAGGATTGCACAATGTGTTCACCACTTCCACTCTCACCAATCACTGGTCCATTGTGACTGGTTTGTATGCCGAAAGTCACGGAATAATTGATAACGAGTTCTTCGATCCTGTTATCAATAAAACTTACATTCCTTTGTACAAAAACAAGAATGCTGTGAATGATAACCGGTTTTATGACACAGGTGCAGAGCCGATATGGGTTACTAATCATTTACAAAATCATAATGGGAGAAGTGGAAGTGTGATGTGGTGGGGTGCGGAAAATGTCATAAAAGGTGTCCGCCCAACTTATCACATGCCTTATGACTTGAACGTTGATGAGAAATCCAAAATTGACACAATTATCCAGTGGTTTACAAGTGAGTATCCGATTAATCTGGGGCTTCTGTATTTCTCCGAGCCTGATCACTCTGCCCACAAGTATGGACCTGACTCCTGGAACGTCACTCAAAAGATAGCCGAAGCTGATGAACTGACTGGTTACCTCATAGATCAGTTAAACAAAAGAGATCTGCTTGATGATATAAATATCATCATTACAAGTGATCATGGTTTTGCAGCAGTGTCAAGAGACAGGCTCATATTCTTGGATGAGTATGTTGATCCCAAATGGTATCACATGGTACACTACTCTCCTGTTGCTACTATTATTCCGCATGAAGGTAGGTGTTTTCTCCTCTGAATCTGACTTACTATTAATCTTAATCAATGCTTTGAAAATCTTTGGCAATACTGAACTACATATGCTGATATGATTGCAGTTCTAAAAACTCAGATTTCAAAATGATAATCATAAATAATTTGATCGATCATTGTGGGTAGCAGGGAATAAAAAAAAGGGTTGACTTGAGATTTTATAGATTTTTCAAATTAAATTCAGGTTCAATGTTTCGCCCTGTAAAGGGCTTCGTCAGGAACACGATGCAAAAAAATAAATCCGGGTATCCCATGAATCATTTGATCATGATGATTTTGCCATTGCAGGGTACTATCTCCATTCGTGCTATTCATTCAATTTCTCATGTCCATTTCACAAATGTTTAACACTCCAATAAACATGCATGTATGCAAACATGCTTTTTAAAGCTTCTTTGATTGCACACACTTTTGCCAAAAGTCTGATTTGTAAAGGTTAATTTTCAGTGACCATATCTTGGGCGACTTTATCGTACATGAAATATAGAGGATGAGAATTTATTTTAGCTTTAAATTGATGTATGTTGCATGAGCTGGTAGTGCAAGACTTTAACTTGAGTGAATAAATTCTCTTGAAAGCTTCTTTTGGACGCCCCTGTTTATATATATAATATATATATATATGTATTCTTCTTCTCTTCTTCTATCCCGTGGTTAGGGCAACCGTGGGGGCACCACTACATCTGAAAACCAGCTCTCGCCATCTATTTTTGTCCTCTGGTTTCCTCAGATTGTCACCCATCGTTTTTCCTGTCCACTCTGTAATGTTGTCCTCCCATCTCCTTCTCTGCCTTCCTCTCTATCTCTTTTCTTGTACGGTTCCTTGCAGGATTGTTTTGGTAAGTCTTGTGGATCTTGTGACATACCCATACCATTTTAATTTTCGTCTCTTTTCTGTGGTCAGTATATATTGCCCCACTGCATTGGTGATTCTCTTTCGTACCTCAGCATTTGAAACGTGGTCTTTGTACGAGATGTCAAGGAGTCTGCGGTAACATCTCATCTCTGTGGTCTGAATCTTTTTCTCTAATTGTGCTGTTGGTGTCCACGACTCGCAGGCGTATAAAAATATTGAGATGACCAGTGAGCGCAATAGTCTAATTTTTGAGTGATGTTTCTGTCCCTCCAAATAGGCTTCAGTTTTGACAGTGCCGCTGTTGTTTGCGCGATTCTGGAGAGAATTTCTGGTCTTGAGCCTTCATCTGAGACGATTGATCCAAGGTATTTGAAACTGTTGACAGTCTCAAGTTTCTCGCCCCTGACTTTGATGTCCACGTTGATGCCATTGGTGTTATTGGTCATTAGCTTGGTTTTCTCGGCACTGATCTCCACTCCGTAGGCTGCTGAGGTTGTGTCCAGCCGCTCCACTAGTGTGGCGAGCTCCTGTTTTTTTCCTTCTTATCCATCGATGACATCGGCAAAACGCAAGTTAGTGATTGTCCTGCCTCCAATACTGATTGTTCCATTGTGGTCTTCCAGAGTGTCAGTCATGATTCGTTCTAGGAAGATATTGAAGAGAGTGGGAGAGAGCCTTGCCTCACCCCGACCGTTGTCCTGAACCAATCCCCCACTCTGCTGTTAAGGTAGACTGCGCTGGAGGCCTTGTCATAGTTGTTGTATGACGTTGATCAGGTTGGCGTTGATGTTATATTTCCTCATGGTTGCCCATAAGGCTGCATGCTGGACCCTGTCGAAGGCCTTTTTTTAAATCCACGAAGATATGGTATAGCGTCATTCTCATGTGGTGAGTCTTGGGCAGAGAAGCTTGGCGGTGCCCATCCCTCTCCAAGCTCTTAACTGTAGGCCGATGTCCACAAACATGATGTGGGTCGCCCCCGATCGCATGCACTTGACCGTTGAACTCAGCTTGGAACCCTTCCGCTCTGACCGTTGAGATCGTCATGGGACCCTTCCGCTCATGGCCGTTGGCTGCTTGATGCTGCTCATCCGCCCAGTGGTGCAGTGTAAACACCACCCCCTCATTTGGTTTAGTCCGCCAGCTGAAGCAGTGTACCGGGGTATGGCGCTGTGGAGCCACATGTGAGAGATTTAGAGGATGTGTGAGGACCAGTGATGCCCGTCCACCCTACCAGGTAGGGTGCAGCATGCCACCCATCAAAAGTACTACCTCACACAAAGCCCCCTATACCTCTAATATATATATGTATATATTATAATAATAATATATACAGTCAAACCTGTAAGACGGCCACCCATTGTCAAAGAGAAAAGTGGCCGTATAAGACAGATGGCCGTCTTAGGCAGGACTGATCAAGATAAAGAAAACAAACCTTTCCCATCTGAAGTCCCAATCGAAAGTAGCCGCATTGTTGTTGTTGGTTTGTATTTTGTTTGTTATTTTTATTTTGTTTCTGATTTTGCGCAAGGGTGACAATAAAAAGAAATATATCAGACGAGGAAGACCGAATTCCATGATAAAACAAACACATGGGTCGCCACCACTCAGAGAACGAACGACGTTTCTGTCGCAAGATCATGTTGACGTCCATTGTTACTTTGTGACAGACTGGGTAAACAGTGACCCCTCATCTCACGTACGATTTGTGTATGAGTTCTGGGCAGAGCGTATGGGTTATGAGGGATCACTTGCTTACCTCACCAGCAGCTGAAAATTGGTACCTATTTGTCAACAGTGGGAGGGGCTTACGCAACATGATCAGTTGAACGGACTACCTAGCAACAACGACAAGTGATTGAATTATGACGGCTTGCCCACAACGCCAGGGGCCAATGCACAATTTATGACAAAACGTAATGGAGTCACTAAGGTGGCCGTCTAAGACAGGTGTTATTGCTTAGTGTGATAGGGGTTGTGTGTTAAAATATGGTAGCCGCGGCCGCGTTGGACAGGTGCCCGTTTTACACAGTTAAATTATATAGAAAAAATGCAAGGGGGGAAATGGAAGTGGCCATTTGTACATTTGGCCGTCTTATAGAGGTGGCCGTCAGGGCAGGTTCGACTGTATATATATATATATATATATATATATATATATATATATATATGTTATATATCTTTTTTCTTCTTCTTCTTTTCGATTGCATCACACTTGAAGTCTGGTATCTGTTATAAATTGGGCCGTCCTTCTCAGTTCATCTGTCGGCCAGTATAGGTTCTCTTGTAGCGTCAGTGACGTTGGCCATGTTTCCTGTCTCAGGGCCCTGTGTGTTTTGCAGTGCTGAAGGATGTGTTCAACAGTTTGGTCCGCCTCTCCACACTGGCATTTTGGTGATTGTACTAGTTTAAAACATTTGTACATGTCTCAGTCTTGTGTGTTGTGTCCGTAGTCTGAAGATAATCACTTGTTCTTAGCGGGACAGCTCATGGTAGATTTCTGTGTAGTTAACGCTGTTGTCTGGTTGCTCTTTCTGTGCTCCTAATTTGGCCATCCTGTCTGCCTGCTCATTTCCTAAGACACCACAGTGTGATGGAATCCACTGCAGCATGATCCTCAGACATGGGATGTCCTCAATTACTTTTCGTAGCCTTGGTAGTTTGCCGGAAGTGATTGCCTGCAGTACTGACATGGCATCTGTTAGGAACACTACTTGGCTTTGGGGGTCTACCACATTCTTGATGATGTTTGCTGCATGTATTAGAGCCTCCGTCTCTGCCCTGTAGTTTGTACAATGTCGCCCTGTTGGGACTGCCTCTGCTTGTCGTCATCCATTTGGGAACTGTATGTACACTCCGGCTCCTCCTCTTTTCACGGCATCAGTGGCAGATCTGTCTGTATAGATCCTTATCCATGCTTCTCGTGGGTATCTTTGTTCAAGCATGGAAAGGGTGAGGGACTTCTTGCTCAGGTCGCTGTGGTCATCTTTTGTGGTGAACATAGGAATGGACGTGTGTATAATTATGTTTGTGTTTTTCTTTTTCCATGATGGTGCCTCTGGGGTGTGGTTCAGGATGTTAACTGTGGCTGGTAGGGATCTTTGGATTTTTCTGCTTTCTTTGATGAAGTTGTGATGTTTGATTTGGCACTGTTCTTGTGTGCAGTATATGATCCTCCATAGCTGTGGCCTTGGTGTACTGTATGAGGGCCTTGCATTCCCATCTCCTCTGCAGGGCCACTATAGATGTTGTTTGTTCCATCTTTCCTATTGGCGTTGATCTCATTGCTCCAGTGATTATTCGGAGAGCCTGGTTTTGCACCTTTTCCAGAGTGTATTTGTGAGTCTGTGCTGCAGTCATCCGTGCACTGGATCCGTATTCAAGATTATGCTATATATATATATGCCTTGAGTTTCCTTTTTATGTTCATTAATTATTAATTAATTGTTCTGATTATTTTTCACAGGAAAAGAAGAGATGATTTATCAGCAATTACTTCATGCATCAAAAGACAATCATTTCCAAGTTTATAAGAAGGCTGACATACCTGTGCGGCTTCACTATAAGAACAACCGGAGGGTCACTCCCATAGTTGCTGTGGCAGACATTACATACTCCTTCATTAGTAACATGTCTGCAGACAAGTTTGTCTTGGGTATGGATTTTCATTCTGTTTGATTTTGTACCAGTAGAGTTGACTGAAAAGTCTTTCTCCCCATATCCTGACTACTAAAAAAATCATTGCATGAACATAAACTTTTTACCAATTGAAAGCTTAGGCTGTCTGTCCACAACAGCACACATGAAGATAAAACTAAAGAAATTTTTCATTGGAAAAGTGATGCATTTTACCTTTGTGACACTTTGTCTTTAGAAATGTAAGTGTAGGCGTCTTTAGGTGATAGAATGAGTGAAATAGCACTGTATGGGATGGGCTATGGATGTGTCTCTTCTGTTTTGAAAGTAAACTTATATCTCAATAACTTTTCTGATGTGATCAGAACTCTTAAGGAATTTTCGTCTTTATATTGAATGTCCAGATTGGAATTTGTGCACTGCGTCACAAAATTCTACTTTGTATTTGGTATTTCATTTCTATATGAGAGGTTTTAGTAGGTTTTTCTTGTTTATTCATTTGACCTATTAAATGCTAGTTAACTCCCTTTTGTTTTATTCTTTTTTCGTCCCTCTATAATGTTTGCTCCATTTTAAAACATGACACGTGGCCTACTTGTTTGCTCACAGAGGTAGTATTTTGATTTAACTTGGTTTGTAATGTGATGATAAGTGCTATCTAATCCTAGATTCTACTCGTTAGTCTATCTACGTTATTTTCAATTTTCACTGTTTCGAGCGGGGAACGATGAGTGTGGGTCGTACAGGTCTGGAGCTCCATCCACTGCGTCGACCCACCAGTAGTGTTGATCCCTGCTCAGCCTAGATTTAAGTCGTGGCTCGGAAGGCCGGTTCAACCTTCGCGTCTGTTTATATACCCCCCGTGCTCCCTTATTCTCCTACACTCACTAGGCTACACTGAGTTTGTTCACTTATTTCACGTGATTCTGGCTCGTCTAGTAATCACAGGGAATTGTAGACCACAAAGTGAAAAGTATAAATTAGACCCTAAGAGGAAGTGAGACAACTCCCCCCCCAAAAAAAACAAAAAAAACCAACAACAACAAAGCCAAACTAACAAACAACAAGTAATGAACCCTTTATTATTACTTTCCTTCACCCTTAGCTGGCAGTCATGGTTATGACAACAAGTACACTGACATGAGGCCGTTCTTCATGGCTCGAGGGCCATCGTTCCAGGAGAATTTTGCTGTGGACTCGTTCTCATCGCTGGATCTCTACCCTCTGATGTGTCACCTGCTTCACCTGGAGCCGGCGCCCAATAATGGCAGTTTGGCCATTGTAAAACAGCTGTTGGTCGAGCCTTCTGAGAACTCTGGGTGGACATTTTCAACGTGTAAGCTATCACTATAACTGACCTTTGAACCTTTACTTTCTGGGGGGGGGGGGGGGGGGTAAACAGTGGGGTTTTTTTCATGTTCGATATGACCACGTTCTCTTACACAATATTGTTATAGATTCCTCTCTACCACCCTCTTTCTACCTTTCCTAACCAATTTTCATGTCACGTATCATGTAGGGGAGAGTGGGGAAAAGTGGGCCACTGTGGGAGGAGTTTTGAAAAAACCCGAAATAACTCAAAAGTGAAAAAAACAAAGGACAAAATGCTTTATATCAATTGATCTAAACAACATTTATTGTGTTTACAAACCAGTTATAAGCGGTACAACAGAGATAGAATGAAAATGGTTTTATATGGTGCTGAAGTCAACTGTATGGGATGGGCTATGACACACACTCACAAGTGGGGAGAAGTGGGCCACAAGGTGACATCTGTGACCAGGGCTATCGAAACCTAAACAAAAAAACATTAATACACTCCTTACAACGGCTCGAATATGGAATTTAACCCAAATTAAAACCACCAAAGTGTCCAAAGTCAACCTAGAAACATATGTCACCTCTATGGTTCTTGCAATAGTGCCTCTGAATTCAGAATGTGGGTGGGGGTAAAATGGCTTTGATTGAGTCAATATATGGACTGAAGAAATATCTTCCACTGCTGGTTTTACAAAGTGTGGGCTCTTTTTACCCTTATCTTTATTGTCCTGATCCTGGCATATTGGTTTGGTATTTAACCACACACACACACGCACGCACACACGCACGCACGCACGCACGCACACACACACACACACACACACACACACACACACATACACACACACACACACACACACACAAACATGCACATGTACGCTGGCTTACAATCACATGCATAATATAAATGAGGAGCAATATAAACAACTAGCTGGACCCCCTTTCGATAAAAGGGATGATCTGTTCTTAACATCAACTGAAAGTCATTGGCTTACTATATTTACACTCTACTGGAATGGAGCAATAAATCTTGAGAGAAAAGTGACACATGTGTTTCCAAGTTGCCAAATATATAATAGATGTATAGATTGATTCTCTATTCCGCTTTCATGGTTGTACACTCCAGAATTTCAAAGGTGCGCCCGGCTAGTGAACGGAAACCTCTCCTTTTTACAATGGCGTCTTAGAAGATGGACTTTCCCAAGATTAGATCTAAACGAAACTAATGAAAAACTGAAAATTAAACTACAGTGATTCAGGCTCCTCAATGGAACTGTGCACCCTTTAAATGATTCTGAACCACCCTTAATTTTTTTCAAATTCAAAAGTTAAGTGGTTTGGAAGTTCTAGGCGGCCAAAGTGACAAACTTTCACCATTATAATATGTATAGATAATAATCTTAAGCTAGATACATACTCAATGTTATCCTGGTGCATGCTCTAAGGTCATATGAATACTTATACAAGATGGTTAAGATGGAAGAATTTTGATGGCATGGATGATGGTGAAAATGACCTTCTGTATCTTTCCTTGTTACAGATCAGAAGCCTACGTCTTTTACTTCTTACTTATGTTTTTATTTGAGGAAACAAGGGATGTTTGTTGTCCAAAAAGATGGAATTAATTTTTTTTAGTGCAAGCTGTTATGTACAATTCATCCAAGTAGGGCAATGTAGATGTTGAAATTTTACATGCTTTCTGTATTAATCGATTTAATTTTTCTTTATCTTATTGTCTTATGTACCCAGTCCATGCTGCTATATAAAAATTGATCATACTTTCTATGGTTGAATGATAGAATACGGACATCAATGTTTTATCAACTTTAAAATATATTAGCTTCCTTAGAAAAAAATTGTCTTTTGTTCACTTTTTTATGCAGGAGAGAAGTGTGGACACGCCAGTTGAGTTTGTTGTCTATTGTAACACCCAAATATTTATAATCTGACACTAGCTCGATGTTTTCACATTTAATTTCGAGTGGCTGCAGGGGCATTTTTTTTTCTTCTGAAATCAACAACAAGTTTCTTTAGTTTTTTTCACATTTAAAAGCGGCTTATGATTTTCACCCCTTTCAGAAAAGTTAAGTACAAAATTCTGGTAAGCGGTTTCGTTATGGTCAACCTGAATTCGCCCAATTATGGTTGAATCATCTGTAAATTTGATCAGTTTTATCAAATATCTCAAGAGATGCTCTCATGATATCGACTACATCATATTTGTGCTATCTATCAAAGATCTCGTATATTGACTGCTCAGTGTAAGATTCAGTCGCACATCACTTCTCAAAGTGGCATGGCGGGGTCTTACACTAAGCAGTCAATATGAACTGGTGGGATATAGCTGCCTTTAGTGTGTAGCTACCTATATGTCACGACACGACGGAATCAGGCGCTCGTCAATTTTTGGGCATGTTGAGTTCTTGTCATCATCTTAAAGCTGGTTCATTGATCTTGGGTTCGATGAAAAAAATACCCATCTATCTTGACTAGAAGTTGAGATATTTTAGGATAAAGGAGGTGGGGTTGCTTAGTTTCAAAGGTGAAATTAACGAGAAAATGGTCACCTAACTTTGGTTACTTCCAAAGCTTAAGAGTCCTTGGAAACTACAAAATTATATTTTTGCAATGATATCAACTTTTTTCAGTAAAAACCACACAGAAATGTGCTTTTTATGGGCCTAAAAGGTATTGAGTTGAAAAGCAAACTTTCGATAAAAATTGCTGAATGGGTGGAAAATGCTGGTTCCTTCAATTTCATTATTTTGACGAGCGCCTGATTTCACCTTGGTGTCTCACATGTGTTTGTTTTTCTGATTTCTCATTTAATTTTTGTTCATTCTTCATTTATCCATTTCTTTATCGTTTTTTTTTTTCCCCAGATATAGTGTGCCTGATTCTGATTTCCTGCGTAGGTGGTCTTTTCTCTGTGGGTGCTTGTCGCCAGCATCGCTATCTTCGACGGAGACTAAACCAGCTTCGATCAGTCAGCGCTCTTGCACCAGACAAAGTGAACATCCTCAAGCCAGAGCATAGCACTCATGTTCCTCTTTTGTTTGGTGAAGAAGATGATGATGACGGTGAATTGGAGGACGACTTTTAAGTACTATACCGGTTATTGTGACGGTTGTCATGCAGTGGCTCTCATGATCTAGAGGTAGGGTGTATGCCCGTGAATCAGATGGTCCGGGGCATGAAGCTCATCATAGATCATGAACAAATTTTCTTCACTAAAATGTTCTCCGTTGTATTTCTCTTGTCCTGTTGTGCCATCTGCTTTCATTTCCACTCTCTCTTCACTCTCTCCCATCCCTCCCTCCCCAACCCCTGGTGTCCTCTCCGCTCCTCTGTCCCTTACTCCTGACTATTGCTACTGCTACACATGGCTTCTCCTTACTGCTGTCTTTCAGCCACTCCCCTGGTCTTAGGGTAGGTAAGATCGAACGCCCAGCCTTCTCGGAAAAGGACAAAAAGTATCGGCTGACTCAAGTACAAGTTGCACATACTCAAGATCCCTAGGTGGTCCTAGAATCAATAAGAGTAGGCTTTAGTCGCCACCCTCACAAAATAGAAATAAATTTCTATCAACACTAAAGACGCTCTAGTCGGTGTAAAAGAATGTAGAGCATCTTCGAAATGGGAATGTGGCTGCTTGAAGTAAGGACCCCAACGAGGTAAGAACAAATTATTTTTTTTTTATTTAGTAGAGGGTTTTACAGCGCTTGCAACTGCATAAGGTCATATGAGCGCCAAGGGGTGAGTGTAAACAGAGAAGTCCTTACAGGGAATCAGACATACTCTGCTCACCTTTCTAGCTACAACTGCACAAAGTTTGCTTCGACTATCAAGGCACCCCGGAAATAACGGGTCTCAAGCGTGTGACACAAACATATAGAGGAAATGACAATAGTAAGGATTAGGAAAGAAAAAGCAGCAGTTCCTTGTTGTAGATCAGGCACAGTTATGAGCTTGACATGGATGAATCAGCCCATTTACAATTCTACTATTCATGAACGAGAAATGTCCACCCTTTGGGAATGGCCTAAAGACACTACAGTCAGTGGCACCGCCCTGGAGGGTTAAGAAAAACAGCCGCATACATAAAAATGGAATGCAAAGAAGGGGAAGAAGGATTAGATGAGTGTATCACTTTGAACACAGAGCATTTTGCTAGTCCCTACACTGCCCACAAAGTGAACACAGACTGCATTTAAGACATGTTCTTGGAATAGCAAGAAAAATTTAGATCCACCTGGAATTTAATAATTTTATTCATGTAAGTAGATGAAATGAGTAAATAATAATGCCATTTATCGTTTTAATGTTTTATCAGGTGTCCAGTTAATTCCTTCTGTAGAGATAAGCAGGAGCCCTAAATATTTGAGGGCTGTGTCGTAAAAGCAAGGGGAAAAAGGTTTCTGCTGAAAGTAATAACAATTTTTGCAGTAGCGATGTGTAAACAGGGTAGAAAAGGCAATGTATACAACTTGTTTGTGCTAAAATTCTCATTGCACCTCTGAATGTATGCATCCATGACATCACATCTAGCGTAGTGAGCCTCATGCAGGAAAGGTTAAAAGAATTTGCTGTTTATGAAAGCCCTATCAATTGTATTGTCAAGATTAATGGGTATGTCAACATAAAGCTAATACTGTCTTTATGTTTAAGTGCAAGATGGCAAGATTCATCTGATGTAATTGTCTCTGTTGTGCAGTAAATTGTGTCACGAAGCTGTAGAATCAGGCGCTGGTCAATTTTTGGGCTTGGGGAGTTATTGGTATCATCTGGAAGCTTATTTGTTTGCCCTGCTTCCCATGAAATAAATATCTGTCTGTCTTGAATAAAACTCAAGATATTTGCGATTGAAGGAAGTAAGGTCGCCTGGTTTCAGTGGTGAAATTAGCAAGAAAATGGCCGCCAAAGTGTGGTAAATCCAATAGCTTTGAAAACTGAAAAATGACATATTTTGTGTCTTTAATCAATGCGTTTCAGTAAAATTCACATGGAAATGTTTTTATATGAATATAAAAGAGGTTGAGCCAAAGAATAAAAATGCGATAAAGAAGTCCAAACTGGCGGAAAAATGCCTGTTTCTCCAATTTCTGTATTTTGACGAGCGCCTGATTTCACCTTGCTGCCTCACAATTGTGTACAAAATTTGGAAAGATTTCAATGGATACGACAATAAAATTACAGATTTTTGTGTATCATGTGGGATGTAATTGTGGGAAAGAAATGTGCACCTTGACCATGAAGCAAAATCTTGTTCAGAAAGCGTTGAATGATATTTCTCTACTTGTTTCTTGTGGATTTGTTCTGAGTTTTTTAATAGTTTTTTTCTGCTCTTAATCTTGAGTACTTTGTTTCATTGAGATCATGCAGTGCTCATTCTGTGTGTTCTGGCAGGGCCAAAAAAATAATGAAGAAGAAATAAAAACCATGAGAAAATTACTTTTATTTCATATCATAGCTTTAAAATAGTGGTAGTGTGATAATTTGGGTTTGTATTTTAGATGACAAGAAGTACAGTAAAAACTTTTTGCGTTTAATCTTCATTGGGACTTCTACAGAACCTTTCTAAAACACCTTAAAATACTGCTTCCTTGAGTGCATATGGGGAATTGGACAGTGAGGTCTGAATGAATTTAAGGTACGACTTTTCCTTTAATTGCTATGGATGGACTCTTTGAAATGCCATCTGTAAAGGTATTGTCGTATATTTTTGTAGTACCCTTTATTATCTTGGTACAAAGGGTACTGGACATTGTCTGTCTTGCCATAAGATTTCTTTCAGTTCACTTTCTCTCCTGGCTGCGGCTAGTACAACCGAAGAAGAGGTGCTGTTTTTTATAGAGTCAAACGTATCATCATATTGTCGTCACATTCCGCATTTGCCAAAATTGCTGCCCCAGAAATTCATTGTTTAACAAACTGTGTGTTTTTTGCATGCTGTAATCTTGCAGTGATTACTTACACTTATACTCCTACCTTTTGGTATTAGTATTAATATTACTCTTGATCAGACTTTTTGATGGGGTGATATTATTATTGATTTATTGATATAAGCCATGTTTGCGTCAAGCCTTTTTTTTGGTTTTAATGGACCTGTGAGTTTGCTTTGAAGACTTCTCTTTTCTTTTTCCTTTCTTACAATTTTGTGAGTAGACTTTTCTTCTTCTTTTTTTGTGTTACTTTCCTTCTTTTCTTCACATGTATACATATGTTACTTTCCTTCTTTTCTTCAAATGTATGCATATGTTACTTTCCTTCTTTTCTTCACATGTATACATATGTTGTTTTCTTTCTTTTCTTCATAAACAGCCAAACCCTGTTATACTGCCAACTTTGGGATGAGAATGAAGTTTGTGGTACAGCGGGGCTGATTGCTGTCTAAACTAGTGGTAGACTGGTAGAGAAAAAAGATTAGAGACAAACTAATGGCTAGTCTTGCCTCATCTAGATCTGTCTCGCACGATTACCATGCACAGAGAAAACCAAGATGCAGCTAATTATATTACAGCTTCTGTTTAACTAAAACTGTAAAATCAAATTCGAAATTCCTGCTGGATCAGAATCTAGGCTATATATACGAGGTAAGTGTCAAGGACGCTGTCGATACATAGTCTTTTTGACCTGATACTCCTCAATCCTCAGGCTGCCTCAAGCCTGTCATGTAGACTTGAGCGTGAATCCTCACAATATAAAGGCCTGACAGGCTCCGGCGAACCTTTTGGTCGTCAGACTGATATCTGGCAATACCGTTAGATAAACAGTCTCAGGCTGAGGTGGGGAAGTTCCTTTGAAATTTTTCAGAGCGACTTTAAAAACTCATTCCAATTATTTTTTTTAAAAACTGGCCAGAACCTCAAAATAAAGCATTTTCATATAAGCACAAATCAGGAGCACATTAAGGACAAGCGGTAGAATTAGGCCAAGCTTGCGGAGACGTCTGTGGAAAAGAGCAGCCACTGAGTCGGAGCTGTGCACTGTATGGAGTATGTATGTACCTCTGGCAGCCGGCTCGCTGGTAGTGTATAGCAGGGCAAATTTACATTAGTTTAATAAGGACCATACAATTCAGATAGTTGGCGGATAGCAGATAACGATGTAAAGTTGCTATTTTATTATGTTATAAGCATTACTTTTCATACATTTGCTAAATCTGGGGGGAAGTGGGGCTGGTGGTACAATGAGGTTTGGCTGTATATTGTTTTGGTTTATTTGCCCCTGTTGTCGGCTTGTAGCTGATGTCCAACGTCATGTCTATTATACGCTTTTTTTCAGCTCGGAAGTTCTTTTTAATTACACACTGCTTTTGCTTTGGTTTTTGTCATTACATATGTATAAATTATAAGCATCTGATCTCATTTTGATATTTCTTTTATTTTTTATGTTTTTGTTTTTGGAGGGTACTAAGGTACAGCTTGCTATTGCCAAGGATACCATGACAGAAGACTTGGTTAAATGATTTTTGTGACCTTATGATAATTTCTCCTTCATTTACAGACTTTATCTGAGTTTAAATCAAATTTTTTCTTGTGCACTTGTCAGAAGCAAATTGAGATAACTCAGATGTGTATGAAGTTGACAGTATTTGTTTGTAATTTTTTTTCTTCTGTTTTATATTATTTCATTGTCAAAAGAATCTCTGTTGTAGCTCTGTGTATCCTACCTACTCAACTAATTTTAACTTATTTGCGATGCTGTGGTAAATTATCTCACATTCCAGCGAAGCCTGCTCACTGTCAACTTCTTTTGTGTTTGTTTCTGAACAAAGTGTGTTGTAATACGTCTATTAAAATGGGACAAAGTGTGTTGTAATACGTGTAGTAAAATGGGACAAAGTGTGTTGTAATACGTGTAGTAAAATGGGACAAAGTGTGTTGAAATACATGTAGTAAAATGGGTAGAAAATGAAAATTCCAGGACAGAAGGCTTTGTTTTCATTTACCTTCATCAAGTGGTTTTTAATCTTGTCAAATATATTTTAAAGTGAATTTCTTTTTTTGAGATAATGATATTTATGGGATGTGATGTTTCTGCCTTGTGTGTTCTACAGGATATTTTCACAATTTCCTTCCAGTTTACATGTGTTTGTTTTTTGTTCACTCATTTACTTATTCTTTTTTCGATTAGACCATTTGAATTGATGGAATGGCAAGATTCTTTGCTTTGCTTTTCGTGCAAAAGGTCTGAGTTTCATTCCCATTTGGGAAGAATATTTTATTGAACATCTCCGTCTAGTGACATGTATCCCATACAGTTAGGCTTGCACTAACAAGTGGTTTTAGAGCTGTCTGTCTCCTATGTGATCTAAATTGTGCCGATAAAGGCATAAAACATTAACAACAAGGGATGATTGAGTTTTTTGACTTGATGGAATACATGTTATATATATATATATAATAGTAGGTGATGGGGTTTGTGAAAATTTGAAGTTTTACTTGTGTTTGATCT